AAAGTTGGGGTTTTGAGGCAAAGGCGAAAGAGACGAGCAAACACAGGGGGCCAGAATTTCAGCACATTCCCTCAGAACACAAGGGGGTATTCCATCTGGTCCATGCACCTTAATCACATCCAGATTAGATAACACACCAGCAACCCTACGAGTGGAGATTATAGGAAAGTGCATAGGTTCAGTAGGAGGGGTAGAGTTGGAATCATTTAAGGAGAATAAAGTGCCAAAGAGATTGACTTTATCACAGGGAGAGTTGGCTATAGAGTTATCAGGTTGAAAAAGAGGCAGTGCAGAAGTTATTACAGATGTTTTTGCTATTCCTTATTTTACTTTTCTATCATTCAGGTCTGTAGTTACAGTCATGTGTATAATATTTTGTATAAACATAGTTGATAAGAATAATAATGAAATGAAAAGTTTAAAAGAAAAACAATGATGAGTAAATTATTGGCTAACTGTTTCCAAACAACTTCTTCTAGAACAAAGAGTAAAGTGTACTGCTTTCAAGCTTTTTTCACCCATATTTTTTCTCTGTTTGATAAAAATAACAATAAAACCAATTAGGATGGCTAAAAGTACACTATACTGTCGTTTTAAAGTAGTTTGAAGATTTCAACTCCACCCTCTAAGTAGCCGAATGGCAGCTGAGTGCTGGCTTTGGCTGTCTTGTATAATATTAACTCAACATACAATACGAGGCAGTACTCTAAAATTAAATGTACAGTAACGCATTTCAACACAATATTTCATTACATTGTTTCTACTGGTGGCTGCAGAAGATTAGGCTAACAGGCCTAAATAATATTAAAAAAAGCCTTACTGTGTAATGTGGTTAATAAATCACTGGATAAAATGCTACATAGGAGCCAAAGTGTTCTTAGGTTTACCAATCCTAACCAAGGTACAATTACACAAGGTACTCTGAGATCACTTATTCATAGCAGATACACCAAGGTATAACCATGTACACCCAATGACACGGGTGCCGAATAATTTTTTAGTGGGAGTACAGTACTCTAGTATGTCGAGGTTCACCAGACAACTCTTAGTTATTAGTATGTTGATGTGGGGATAGTGAATGAAGGGTGCAGTGTGCGGGGAAAGGGATTGTATATTGTGTGTGGGGTACGGATTGAAGTGCGTGGGAGAGGGATTACAGTGTGTGTGTGTGTGTGAGGGGGGGGGTCGGGAGTAAAGTGTATGTAGGAGTTGTGCGGGAGAGGGATTACAGTGTGTGTGTGTGTGGGGGGGTCAGGGAGAAGTGTATATGTATGAGTTGTGCGGGGAGAGGGATTACAGTGTGTGTGTGGGGGGGTCAGGAGTAAAGTGTATGTATGAGTTGTGCGTGGGAGAGGGATTACAGTGTGTGTGTGGGGGGTCGGTAGTAAAGTGTATGCATGAGTTGTGGGAGAGGGATTACAGTGTGTGTGTGTGTGTGTGTGGGGGGTCGGGGAGTAAAGTGTATGTATGAGTTGTGCGTGAGAGGGATTACAGTGTGTGTGTGTGTGTGGGGGGGTCGGGAAAGTGTATGTATGAGTTGTGCGTGGAGAGGATTGTGTGTGTGTGTGGGGGGGGGTAGTAAAGTGTATGTATGAGCTGTGGTGGGAGAGGGATGACAGTGTGTGTTGGGGTAGGGAGTGAAGTGTATATATAATGGGTATAGTGTGTAGGGAAAATATTGTAGTGTGTGAGGGTGTAGTTTGTTGAGGGAGGGATTGTAGTGTAAAGGCAGCATCACACAGGCACTTGTACCGGCCTTTTTTGCTTTCGTCTAGTTACTAGCTGCTGGTTTTCTTGTGCTAGCAGCTGGAATTTGATCTTCCAGCAGCTGATTTCTCAAGACTGACGTGTTGGTCTTCAAATCATAGCTACCAGCAATTTTTTGGAATCAAAGGAGAACCACTATTGTATTACTGTACTGTACAGTATTAAAAGTTTAAAAAAAAATGTGTATTATGTGTTGGTGTGATGAACAGTTATCATCCAGTTAGGTATAAAACTGTCAAAGCTAAAGATTCACAAGAGTCCCAGCCCTGATATGGTGCGCCCCAGAGTGTTAAGAGAGCTGTGTAACGATCTTGTGGAGCTTCTTAAGATCCTGCTCTGCAATTGCCTGGATGAGTAAAAGGTCCCCAACGACTGGAAAATGGCTTATGTGAGTCCTACATTAAAAAAGGGTGATCACCACTCCACGAATAATTATAGACTTGTGAGCCTGACCAGCATAGTGTATAAAGTACTAGAGAGCATTATAATAGATGCCATGATGGAACCTCTGCTACGAAACAACCTTGTAAAGGAATGAAAATGCGATTTTATGCCGGGACGATCCTGCTTAACACAATTACTCATGGTACTGGATGTTTGAACTCAAATTCTAGAACGGTGGACATATCGACAATATATACTGTACCTTGATTTTGCCAAGGCTTTTGACAGCGTACCACATAGAAGGCAGAGAATTAAACCGGAAGGGTACAGGATTTGGGGAAGTGTCCTAACGTGGATCGGAGACTTTCTGCATGACCACAAACAGTGTGTAGTGATAAATGGCACGAAATCATCATGTGTACCTGTGACAAGCAGGGTACCACAGGGCAGTGTATTGGGCCCGTTGTTTGTTTTCTTCATTAATGACATGCCAGAAGCTATACACTGCTCCACACAAATGTTTGTGGACAATGCCAAGTTGTTTAGGGAAACTAAGAACCAGACTGTGAAGAGCTACAGAAAGATCTTATGAGCTTCAATAATGGTTGAAGAAATGGCTGCTAAGATTCAATGTCACGGAGTGCAAAAGGATGCACCTATGTCTCACGAACAGTAAGGAGGTGTATCACATGTCCCAACAGGATGAAGAAACTGCATTAATTGAGACAGAATATGAAAAAGACCTGGCTGTGTATGTCGACAATGAACTTAAGTTCTCAGGCCAATTGTGAGAAGAAGGTGAATCAGGCACTGAAACTAGGTCTTATAAGAAGGTCGTTTAGATATCTGGATGGTCCGTCGTTCGTCACGATCTTCAAGAGTGAGGTGCTTCCCCATCTGGATTACTGTCATCTCTTCTGGTCCTCGGGGTATGTTAGAGACTGTCAATTGATTGTAAATGTCCAAAGTAGGGCCACCAGACTGGTGCCTGCTCTATGGAACCTTAATTACCCAGAGAGATTAGAATGCCTGCATCTACCTAGCTTATTCTACAGATGGGCAAGGGGCGACCTAATCGAAGTGTATAAACATCTCGGGGCACTACTCAGTTGAATGTACAGTAGCTAAAACAACTATTTGTGCAGGTGGGGGTCGATATGCTCCAAAATTTTACGTGTGACTAGTGACAGCCCTCGTATACCAAAATTTATTGTCCATGGTTTCATATTGTTTCCCACAAAGTATGCACAGATAGTTGTTTTAGCTACTGTACATACCTGGAGCTGGCAGACATCTACCCTACAAGGGGTCACAGCTCAAGGTTGAAGAAGCCACAAGTTCAGAAAACTGTGAGGGCAAAATTTTTTGGAGTGAGAATTTGGGAGCTCTTGGAACACTACCAGAGAGCGTTGTGATGGCACCGAGTGTGAGCTCATTCAAGGCCAAACTTGACCAACACTGGAGCAGGTTCCGATATATTCAGGAGCCAGTGCATGCCCAGTACAGTACTTGTCAACAATGGGTAACAGAGATGTGACCAACCGCCCAAGCAGCTAACGAGTCAATCATTGGTGAAGTAAAAAAGTAAATATATACTGAAAAAAATAGAATAAAGTGTTCCATGATAGATAATTAAAATCAGTTAACATATCCTTCGTGTCCACTAACTAGCATCTATCTTTTTATTTCCAGTGAAAATAAAAAACAAATTTATGAAAATATAAATGATATGCACAGGAAGTACATTTATCTTCAAAATATAAAAACTAGTGTTAATTATGGATATTCCTGTTAGTTTAGTCGTGTTTATGTCTACAGCTCAGGACCAAGCTTTCTTCTTTCTAGCCATGAACGAGTCCACATGCATTTCCTCTCATATTTATATTAAACACAATATAAATCAAGAGTTGTAAGAGCTAAAAATTTTCATCAAAGGCTTGTTACTGTGTTGGCTTGGTCCAGCCACTCCACTGCAGTTCCATTGGCAATAATATTCCTGTCATGTGAACACACTTCTTAAAATTTTGGGGTAAAACAACTGGTGCTACTACTAGCCGAAAGCAAAAAATGCGGGTACGAGTGCCCTTGTGACACTGCCTTAAGGGGTTTGTGTGTCAGAGAGGGTTTGTAGTGTGTGGCAGCTGCTTTATCAAGTTGTTAGGGTGGTTCTTAAACATTGTAGATTGACTTTGGTTGTACAACATGAGTCACCACTCCATCTTTGGTCTTAACCCTTAAGCCCCGGGTTAGGGTGCTGCTGGCAGTACCCCCCACGCAGGGTTAAATCGGGAAAAAAAATCAACATTAACAAAATTAATAAAAAAAAAATGGTTGGAAAATAGGCAGACGTTCTGGAACGTCACCCGGTGCCTAAGGGCTAAAATGGGATTTCAGGATTGAATCCTTCATTTTTGGTCTGTATCTCTTCTTTCTTTGTGAATTATTAATAATTTGTTTACAAAGCAGACATGTACTGTAACATTATGGAGAGACTTATTGAAAGGTTAGCCATATTCTTAGTAAGAATAAAAATGTGATAGAAGAAGAGAATTATTATTGAGTAGTGTATGAGTAAGAGAGGCGGACACTTTAAATGAGATGGAGGTCGTGAATAGCTCCTTTCCCTGTATAGTAGGGTTAATTTGATGAATTAGGCATATAGTTGATAATTAATCTTGAAGCAGGGATTTTATATTTTATTTGGATAATGCCAGACACTTTTATTCAGTTCATAGGTAACACTGTTTACAAGGGGTTAAAACAGATACTGTATATGGTATCTACTAATATTGCAAATTTAAAATATGTTGGCAGAAATTTTTCATATATAATTCTTTTCTGTCTCCTAGGAAGTGATCCAGCAAGGTGTGCTCCATCTACCAAAAGACCGTCTAAAGAAATTCCCTGAATTAAAATTCAAATATGTAGAGGAGAATGAACCAGAGGAATTTTTCATTCCTTATGTGTGGACACTTGTGTATCATAAGTCAGGATTGTACTGGAATCCAAAGTGCATCTGTATGTTTGATCCCTCTCAACCTGATGGTTAAAGCCAAATACTAGCCAAATCAGGTGTTGATGTTGTTTTCAATTTGATAAATGTGTTTTTATCATTGTGTTTTGTTGCAATTTTTTTTAAAGGTTTACTGTTAGCAGGTGGGATAAACAATATGCATAAAATAGCTGTGAGTTAGTTAGGCCTGTTATTTGATGGCAGTGTTTTTGTATTTAAAATTTATTGTATTTCATCAAGATCAGGAATAACTACATTAGATCTTTTGTAAGACTGTGAGATAATCTGTAATTAGAAAAGTTTTTGTATACATAATTAGTCTGGAATACTGCTAGATAGAGATACTAGTTAAAATAGTTAAACAGTTTTGATAAATATCATGTATTTAATTTTAACTGCATTCGATTTGTATGTTTTTTCTTTATTTATATCACTTAATTTCAAACCTTGTTTGGTAGCCACAGATTCTGAATATAGTTGAACCAGTATAGTATTAGGTTGTAATTCTTAAGCTATTTCGCAAAATTATGTTTGGTATAAGTATAAAAGAATATATCATTTTAATATAAATGCACATGAGTATTCTTAATACAAACTAGTTTTATTTTTTCAATGTAAGATACTGGTAATACTGCTTAACTTTGAGTAATTACCCTCTGAACCCAGCATCAAATAGTACAGTATCTGACTCTTTAGGGACTGTTGATATACCATACAGTGCTGATAATTTTGTACTATGATAGTAAAGTAGTACCGGTAATTTTCCAGATTCAGAATAGGTTGTGCCTGAAAGTCATATTCAGGGCCTACAAATCTTGAACCCAAGTGTCCAAGGGATATTTAAATATAATGACACCTGAATGTTCAAATTTGTGGATAAAATAGTCCAGGCAAATATAATTTGTAAAGTTTTAAAATGTAAAGGTTTAATCATTTTAAAAATGACTGGCATAGGTCCAGGACATCCATGCATAATACATTAAACCATTATGCATACGGTTCTAACCCACTGATAGGTGACATTAAATGTACAGTCAACAGCAGAAGTTTGTCCCAGCCAACGTGCATGACATGAAGCAGGTGATCTTTTTTTACTTTTTTACTTTTATCCTCTGCACCACTGATCAGCTCGTTAGCCGCTTGGGCAATCGGTCACGTCTCTGTTACGCACTGTTGGCAAGTACTGGGCATGCACCGGCTCCTGAATGTACCTGAACCTGCTTCAGTGTTGGTCAAGTCTGGTCTTCAAAGAGCTCACACTCAATGCCATCACAACACTTTCTGGCAGATTGTTCCAAGAGTTCACAACTCTTACTCCGAAAAAGTTTGCCCTCACAGTTTACTGGACCTGCCGCTTCTTCAATCTTGAGCTGTGACCCGTTGTGGGGCGAGCGTCCACCAGCTCCAGGTAAGGATACTAGACTGAGTAGTGCCCCTTGAGATGCTTACACACCTCAATTAGGTCACCCCTTGCCCGTCTGTAGTATAAGCTAGGCAAGTTCAGGTACTCCAATCTCTCAAGGTAGTTGAGATGCCGAAGTGCAGGCACCAGTCTGGTGGCCCTCCTTTGAACATTTTCAACCAACTGACAATCCCTAGCATATCTCAGGGACCAGACAGGGTGACAGTACTCCAGATGGGGAAGCACTTCACTCTTGAAGATCGTTACGAGGGACGGACCGTCTAGATATCTGAACGACGTACTTATAAGACCTAATAATTTATTTGCCTGATTTACCTTCTTCTCGCAATGGCCCGGGAACTTCATCTCATTGTCAACATATACACTTAGGTCCTTCTCACATTCAGTTTCAAATACCGGGTAATGCAGTTTCTTCATCCCGTTGGGACATATGATACGCCTCCTTACCATTGGTACGCCCCAGGTGCATCCTCTTACACTTCATGATATTGAACCTCAGCAGCCATTTCTTTTACCATTCTTGGAGCTCACAGAGATCCTTCTGCAGCTCTTCACAGTCCGCTTGGTTCTTGATTTCCCAAAATAACTTGGCGTCATCTGCAAATATTTGTATGGAGGAGTGTACAATGTCAGGCATGTCATTTGGTAACAATGTATGGGGAAAAGAGTTGACAGATATGCTTTAAATGGCTAGTTATTTAAGGCTAGTTATTTAAGATTTTTTATTAGAGATTGCCAAAGAATATATTTCTTTTATATAACTTAATTACTGTAGTATCAATGTATAAAATGTGAGAAAATAATGTTATTAATAAAAATGACATTGTTGCAGGATGGTTCATAGCTGGAGATCTATGGGTTGTAATTATTTGTACTGCTGATGCCAACGAGTATTTTTCATTACCACAGAAATCATTGCAATGATCTCTGTAAATCCAAATTATTAAATGTCACAACTTACGAACCACAATTATCATAATTATCCATACAGGAACTACAATGACTTCTGTGGACAGAAAGAGAAACTGCTAATTAGGACAGCCTTCGTAACTTACTTTGGTTATATTGGTAAAGTTAATGTCAGTAAGAGAGACCTGCAACAACCATAACAACTTGCAAGAACTACAAACTGCCATCTGGGATAATGGAAATGGGTAGTAAAAATGTGTTGAAGCATGTCTACCACCCTTATGGACAACATAGCATACTCGATTCCTAATTCAAATTTAGACAGAGGGTAGGTGGTTGTTCTAATATCTTTATTTCATATTTGGTGTTTGAGAATAAGTTTCCTAAGGAAGGGAGAGAGGAATGGTGAGGTAGAGAAGGGTAGGAAAGTGATGACGGAGAGGGTGGAAGAGGTTTTCACAACTAAAATCTAGCAACTGTCATAGTCAATAAAGCAAACATCATTAAAGAATACCTCCCAATAACAAGACCTCAATGTGCCTTTATTGCATGGTTCCTGGGAGCAAAACAAAGGAGGGAGAGAAGATAGACAAACGGAATAAGGAAGGAGAGAAGAGAAGAAGGAGGGAAGGTCTGGAACAATGATACTTACATATTCTAGTAAATTGTGGTTAGAAATGGTGATAGTAAATGGTCAGTGTTGTACGTTGACGCCATTAATTTAACACCATCAATGGACGGCGGCAACTTTTTGTTAACGCTGATGCCATCAATTTTTGGGGCAGGTGACGCAGTCAACTTTTCACCCAAGCGGAGCGTCAAGCGTCAATTTGTTTGTCAGGAAAAAGGCCACCAACCAGCTGTCCAGATTGGTGGAAAAGTCCGTGCACGAGACTGAGAGCAGCAGCAGCAGCAGTGAGGGAGACAACAAAGACCATGACATGGAACATTGTTCCAAGCCCTGTACAAGACACCCTGCAGGAATGAAAAAGACAGTGACCTTTTCAAGCGTTTCCTGAGGGGAGAAACCTTTAAAAAAAACTTTGAACAAGGACACCCCAACAAAGGCCATGAGGGAATTATTCATCAAATACAACACCCCCATCCCTTCTAGTGTTGCCGTGGAGAACATGGTCTCCATGGGCAAGGACGTCTTGAGGCCCAAGCGCAGCAGAATGAGTGACAAGCATTTTGAGATGCTAGTAATCTTGCGGGGAACAAATGAATAATTAAAATTATATAATATACAGTGGTCCCTCGGTTAACGAAATTTTGGTTAACGAATTACCTTCCATAACAATCTTCAATTCGGTTAACGAAAAAAATTTAATTAACAAAATCCTTGCGAAAATCACGTTTTGTTTTGAACATCACCTGATAAGCTGAGGAGGTACTCGGCCAATTCAGTAATCTCTTCTATGTTTACATTTGTTTCCAATGGAGTAAATAGCAAGAAAATTTTGCTCTTTAATATTTGTGCATTTTTTTATGCAGTATTAAAATTATTGGTCATTCTAAAATTTAGCCATCCAAGCTCTGTCTACATAAAGTTTTTCAACTACTATTTTTGGCTCGATATATGTAACTTTATTCATTTATTGAAACATTATATATATATATATATATATATATATATATATATATATATATATATATATATATATATATATATATATATATATATATATATATATATATATATATATATATATATATATATATATATATATATATATATATATATATATAACAACAAGGAAAGAAGAAAACACAAATACAGTGTTAGGACAGGCAGGATCCAATGCTCTGTTTGTTCATTTGAGGGACAACAAGCATTGCTTGACTGAGATAATGCCTCCTCATATTACCTTGTAATTGATTGATAGTAGGAACATCATAGAATCTAGTCTCATTAAACACTCGAAGCATTCAACATGAATTTGAGTAATAGCATGTACAAACTGGACAATTTTGTAATTAAGAAGATTTGTAACCAGGTGAGAAAGTTGGGTCACCTTACCTCGACTCCACACCACTGTTGTGTGCTATTAAGATTAGTAGGGTCATTACCTAATTCCTGACCATTGTGGACTTGGTCTCACCCTCCCTGTATATATACACTTTGTTTTGTGCCTCTTTAGTCTGTACTCACCCCTGAAGATGTGAACACACAAAGCGCCTTTGGGAACTTTTGTTTTCTTTCCTTGTTATCAGCAAATACCTAGACCACGCAGACTTACAGTGATTTACTTGCACACACACACACACACACACACACACACATATATATATATATATATATATATATATATATATATATATATATATATATATATATATATATATATATATATATATATATATATATATATATATATATATATATATATATATATATATATATATATATATATATATATATATATATATATATATATATATATATATATATATATATATATATATATATATATATGGAGTTCTGCTATAACGCTGTGTTTTGATAACGTAATTGCTTCTAACGCTGATTTATGAATTCGACAATATTTGTATAACGCTAACGCTTGTTTTGCTATAACGCATTTTTGCTACTATTTCTCCAATTTTGTGGTATTAACTGTGAATATGGTAAAGAAGAATATCTCCAAAAGGCTTGATGATAGAATTTCGGTGATTATCGAAAAGAAAGGATATAACACTGAAGAGAAGCTCAATGTTATCAACCTCAAAATCACCCTCCCCATCAAGTTACATTCAATTTTTTCAAGGTAAAGTGTTAAATTTACCGTATGATTTCATTATTAGATATGAATGTAACATTTATTTAGGGATCTGCTATCCTTGTTAGGCTAATACTATTTTCGATTTCGGAGTAATCTGCACCTAACCCTATTTTCTCCATAAGTCCTGTTATTTCTATACACATTTATAACACGATATTTTACAAGAACACAATTATCGTAAGTATAGCAGAACTACTTGTATATATATATATATATATATATATATATATATATATATATATATATATATATATATATATATATATATATATATATATATATATATATATATATATATATATATATATATATATATATATATATATATATATATATATATATATATACAAAGATAGTAGGCTCTCACAATTCACTTCCACAATAACGTTTTCGTTATAACAACTAACTTGCAACAGATCCATTTTCGTATAATAACATCTGGATTCTCTTTAAACGG